CCTTGTATATTCCACTCATTCCAAGTACCCATTCATACTCCACTATTCCAAGTATTCCTCCCTAACAAGCAGGTTTTTCCTGATTTAGTGCATTAGTATATATGTATGGGACACCATTAATGTCTCATCAGGTCTATCACTGAATTTAACTAGACAAAACATTTTAATTTTCTGCTTATTTAATACAGATGCTTGAGACAGTTAAATCTCATGAGAGTAAACCTGCATGTGGTCTCTCTCTCTGAAATTGTGAACCTATACAAATTTGCACATGTGTATTGCATGAGCAAATAATGCTAAAAGCTTAGACATATATATGCCTTGGCCTAATGAGTGGGTGGATCAGTTGATTTAGAGTGATCTACCCTGCACTTAATATTACAGCAGATCTTGGTCTCTGTCCTGTTGAATTGTCATTGTGTAAATCAGTGAATCATCATTCAATACAATGTATGTATGTGTGTGTGTGTGATTGTATGTATTACATGCGTGTATGTATGTATATATGTATGTGTGTGTGTGTGATTGTATGTATTTATGTATGTATTACATGTATGTATGTGTGTATGTAATTATGTATGTGTGTATGTATGTGTGTATATGTGTGTGTATGTATGTGTTAAGAATTTTAAAAACATAAAGGTAGATACTGAAAAACCTTTCCAAATAGAAACACATAGCCATACAAGATATATAATAAATTTGTTAGAATTGTTTAAAAGGTATGCAATAGAAAAGATCAAGGTAGAATAATATAACATCTGTGTGTGTGTGTGTGATTTGGATTTTTAATGTAGCTTTAACAATTTTTCAGTCCTATTGTTTGGATCTCTGCAGTGTGGCAGTTTATGGTGATGTCTAGCACTGGGTCATCATGCCACAGACATGTAGTGAGATGACCCACCCAGTCACATCCTGACACCTGGGCCCCCGAGTGGTCTAGAGCGCTGTCCATTATGGATCACTGCCATCTCATCTTTATCTGCATGTGTTTGAGTCTAGGATACAGTGAATGTGGATATGTGAGAAAGCATGCAAGTAGTTTTTCGTGGGTCAGTGGTTCTTTCCAGTGATTTCCTGGTTTCTTCCTCCACCATTAATACTGGCCGCCATGTATTGCCTATGATGTGCTGAAAAATGGCGTTAAGCCCCATGACAACAACAACAACAACAACAACAATCCAGACACCAGGTCAACCAGTCCTAAAACTAACATCATAATGCTGAGAACCAAGTGAGGCAGCTTGATGTACCATTTTTAAAAGTTTTTGGTATGACTGCTGGGGATCAAACTAACAACATCCCACATCTGAGGCTGATGCTCTAGCCAATAAAATTTATGGTCAAAATTTGCTGGTAGTTGGATTTACTACCTACCTAAAACACAAAACTTTATATTTCACTTTTCTGAAAAAATGTAATAAACAAGCTAGACAATAGCACAGAAAAGATAAGAATATTTCCCACTATCATCTTAAAGAAATGTCTTGTGGAAAATAAAGAATGCAGAGAGAATGAGAGTGGAAAATGGAATAACCACATGAATGTACACACACACAAAGAGTGGTGTGTTTGAAAAATAAGTATTAAGTGATATTTAGTCTGATATAACCATATTTTACAAATTTTCTGTGTCATTATGACAGTTGATTCGGATATTAAATCAATAAGTATAATTATTATTAAAGCCTCAGCCTAGTGGCTTTCATTTTTATGGTAAAGACACACATCTACACACACACACAATGTCATTGTCCTGTACACAATGGATTTTGGGCTATGAACTGTGTGTCACTGTCTTTGTTTTTAATTAGGATTTTATATCTGTTTTAAATTGGGCAGTGCATAACAATAACCAAGGGGATCTTCTGATTGCTATTAGACCATCTAGGTTAGTCAAGTGTGTATTGTCTTAAAAACAAACTATTCATTAGATTGTCCACTTAATGTCTTTCATTGATGAAATATAGTAGACTTTATTCTCTGATCAATTTTTCCTTTTCAGTAATTGTAAGATCCTGGTCAATAAAAGAAAGTTCCGGCACCAGTTTTGCTATTTTTGTACAATGTTTTATTGTCACCTGAAATGTAAAAATCGCATTTGGAACTGTCAACCACTTTTCTTGCCTTAGTCATTTTTCAGTCAAGTTATCACTGACTTTTTTAAGATTAAAAATTAAATTAATCCCTGAAGCTGGTGTTTTATTTATTTTTTATATCATAGTGATTGAAAGCCGTTTGTGAACAGGTTTGGTTTCCATTTGAATTAAGTTTTCTTTTTTGGCTAGCCATACCTGCTGTGGGTTCACCATGATGCTGTTAGTGTGTTTTTTAAATTGCTGTGATTTAATTTATCACAAAGCTGCTTAACAGTTAGAACACATGTTTGGAACATTTTTATACGTCATAAGTCCTTTGTATTCATAAACAAATATAGTATACTGGAGGGCTTCACAAGCAGGTGACTGATATTGAACATGCCTAACTACCAACTTTTTTTTCGAAATTTTGTGTTATTTACTTTCAAGCTATTGTTATAGTAACTCAAGGAAAGTTTGAGCGGTTATTTTTTTTAATCTTTCTGAGACACATTTAAAAAGACAATACAATAACTCCTGTTTAACAAAATTAAGGACACCTGAAAATAGATTTTTTTACACTATTAGTGGGTTTTCTTTTGTCTGTTTTTAACAGAAGTAAATGGTATTTAGGGGATGGGATTGTTCCTTAAGGGTATATCTGATGTATTACATTCCTAATTGCCAAAAATAAACTGAGCAAAAATAAATGTAAAGAAAAATAAAATAAATTGTTAGATGTTTAATAATGATATTGTATAACTTATGTAAAATAAAAAATAAATGCTATATTTAGCCAATTTGACCAGCTTTACTTTGGCAAGCTGCATTCAACATGGTACTGTGTCTACTTTGGGTGTTCTCACCAAGAGTTATAAGGGTACATTCCAAAAGGTTATTGATGAAATAAAACATGCCTGGTTATTGAAAATGAAAGGAAATAGCCAAAAGTAAAGATTCACTGGAATGAATTACAATTTACTAAAATTAAACAAATTGCAAATAATAAAGAACATAAGGAAACTAAAAATGAAGTCTAAGGGACATAAAATGTATTATTACTGAAAATGATAATTGAAGTCTAATTGTTTTTCCTGCGAGTATTGGGAGTGGGTGGGAATTAGAAATACCAAAATTGAATAAACTATAAAGGTTCTGTATCTGATGATAAAGTTAGTTGGATCAGTCTGCATTTTGTTGTAAAATTGCTTATAATTTTGTGTATAAACTCTACCCAAAAAGTCTTTTCCACATTTGGAGGATGACTACTGCCATTGTCTTGAGATTGTTTCATCTGTATAGAATGTAAAATTATGTCACAATTCAAATAGCTGTTTGGGGTTTTAAATTTTTGTTGAAAATTAACTTTGTAAACCACTTTCAACTCCTATTTCATGCTGAGTAAATTTATGTAAAGTATCATTCTCTTTTGAATTGCTCCAGATTAGACTGCATTACACAATTGAAGATGTGTTGTTTTTGACCATTTTTAATGTGAGGCCCTATTTGAGCAATAAAATTTCTTCAAGAAATGTCACAAAACATAAATAATTTTACTTTTCATAGTTTGCAAATTCTGAATTGTGTATGCAATAATTTTATGTAGGAGAATTTAGTTGTTTACCTCAAATTGAAATGAGTTACTATGCTTTATTGCTTTGATATGGGGCACTTAAAATGATTTGACTGAATTTAGGAATAATAACTCATTAATATAGCTCTGTGGCTGCTTTGAAATAGCTAATTAAGGGTAATTTGTATTGATTTTTTCACATGGACAGTGTGAATTACTACAGCAGACAGTGAAGTAATTGACTGGAAATGTTTCAAGGATGAGGACTTTTCAGAATACCTGTATTGATTTTTGTATGTGGTATGCCCAGCATGTTTACTTGTATTGCTGGTGTTTACTGTAATCTTTAGCCTAAAAAATCCCTTATGTCATGGGTGTATATCTGTTAAATTTGATGATTCTTTTTAATTTTGATCTCTCTCTCTCTCTCTCTCTCTCTCTCTCTCTCTCTCTCTCTCTCTCTCTCTCTCTCTCTCTCTCTCTCTCTCTCTCTCTACCCACCCCTAAACGTGACAATGAAACCTTTCACTATTAATTATGAGCAACACCCACCCCAATGACATAGCATTTATGTGAAGATTTACAGTTTTGTACCTCGTGTAATAAACAACTTTATATTTAATTGATTTAAGTATTATTTTGACAGAAATTGATGTTCATTATATAATTCCACCAGAAATACTTTGTAATTAAAACATCACAAGAATTATGGATCTTTGTTGCAACTTCTTAAATATATTGCACTTCCATTCCTTACTAGTAAGGCATTGGCATGATTTTATATTTGTGTGCTCATGTCAAGTAGAAAGAGAACAATCTTTGGCTTCATACTGAACATTTATTTATATTTAAAAAAACATGAGAATTATAATTCATATTTAAATTGGTTTACTTGAGATATGTTTCTCTCATGACTACTGACTTATTCATACATTAGTAAACCCAGATAATGATTTTACCATATTAAATAAAAAGAGTAATACTGAATACAAGAAATGACATTGTGACCTCATTTTAAGATGAAGACCAGATGTTTTGGCTCAGTTAACGGGGGTATGTGACAAAACTTTCCAGTAGCTTCCAGTTGGTTGGTGGTTTGTCACTGGGTTTTCCCAGGTTCTTTCTCCACCAAATATACTGGCTGCTATGTAATGTGCTAAAAATGGCATTAAACACATTTAAATAAAAATGTTTTATTTTACTTCATAAAGGGTTGACTTGTATCATCAATTTCATTTGAACAAAACAATTTAAGAGTATTCACGTTAGTTGAATCATCGCCATGGTCTCCTCTATATGTAGCTCGCAGTTTTAGACCTTAAAATGGTTTTGTTTTTGTGGTGTAAGACTGCTCCGGTGTCTTAGTGGTTAGAGCATCTGCCTGTGATGCAAGAGGTCAAGGGTTCAAACCCAGGCTGAGTGATACCCAAAACTTAAACAAATGGTACTAACAGCTGCCTCACTTGGTGCTCAACATTAAGAGGTTAGTGTTAGGACTAGTTGGCCTGGTGTCAGGATAATGTGACTGGGTGAGACATCATGCTACATGTCTATGGCATGATGCCCCAGTGCTAGACATTACTGTAAATTGCCACACTGCAGACATCATAGTGATATGACTGGAAAAGTGCATTTAAATCCAAATTACACACACACACACTGGTGTAAAGAAGTATTTATCAGGACAGAATGCACAGTCAATGAATATTAGTTAAAATTTGGTAGAAGAAAAATGGTTCCAATACCATTATAGGTCATTATTCAAACCAAGTAAAAGCTGGTCATTGAAAGATTTTATTTAATTAAATGTGAAAGTGGAATGATAGGTAATTAACTTTACATAAACTTGTTAATTATGGTAACTTAAAATGGTTCCAATTTAAAAAGTCATAAAATAATTTATTTTTTTCTTTAAGGTTTGGACAAGACAATATTATGTTTATTTTGTACTGAAGAGGACAAAATCATTGATTCGGTGAATATATTAATTTGTTATGGACAGTTTTGCTTCATTTCTTGAGATCAGAGATTTGAATTTGTCTTTGGTGGTGGTATATGCAATAGATAAATAAAATACATTAATTTTGGAAAAATGTTTATTATTAGGAAAAAATAAATCATGTATGTAAAATACAATACCCATTTCAGAAGTTGTTAAAAAGGAGATATGCTGTGGATAATGGATAGAGCTATACATGTCTGATTGGGAAATTTTTTTATAGAAGATGAGATGTCTACAAATACATAATCTAATACACTTGGGACTTTTTATAACAATGCTCTTTGGAGCCATTTAGCCAATCAATGCTTTCACAGGACCTAGATGCCACATAATTGTACATTCCACACTGTCATTTTGGAAACACAAATAGGTTATTTGTTGCCACGGTAACTGGAGTAAAGTGTTTTATCCAATACACACTATGGTAGCTGGGCCAGGTTGTTCCATTGGTAGGATTCAAATCTGTACCCTTTCCATCATGGCCTGGTACACTGAGCCACCAAACCGCCCTAAAAGGTCCTGATTCCATTCAGATTTATTTCTGTTGTCCTCTGGTTTGATAGAGAAGGTAAATTAGAAGAATTTGTGTCTGATGACTTTACCAATGTCAATGATCAATGACAATCATCAAGGAAACTATCATTAACTGCAGCATTGTAAAAACTTTTTGTTTTCATCATTTTAACATAAGCATTTTTTGCTTAATTAGTATTTATTATTTTATCAAGTTGAGTAAAATCATTCAACAGTATCAGAACACAAAAGACATGAATCTATATAACTGATATGTGACCAGACACTGAAAGGTCTTAATTTATATTCATATGCAGTATACACATGTTATACATGCATGTAGTTTAGTTAATATCCAGTATACATGTATAAATTCATGTATATGTAGTGTAATTAATATCCAGTGTACATGTGTATATTCATGTACATGTGTAATTAATATATAGTATAAAATGCATATACTCATGTATTGGAGGTAATAACAATTTACATATAGTGTATATACAAACGGATATCGAGCAAGGGATAAAGAAACATTTGTTTATCAAATGGAAGATATAAAAGAAAGTCAGTTAACTTTAAATTATTGGTATCTCCTTAAACCATTTCTCTTTCAAAGACTTTAAGACAAATTTGAGAGCCTTGTAACAATATTCATGTTATATTAGATGCTTCATTTTGGAAGCCATGTACATGTGTATGTATAGTGAGATATTAGGTACACTGTACACATGTATATATAATGAGATTGGATACACTGTACACATGTATAAATAGATATATTGATTACACTGTAAACATGTATAAATAGATATATTGGATACACTGTACACATGTATATATAGTGAAATTTTGGATATGTTGTATCAGAGAACTGGGAATAAGAAGTCAATAGAGCATTCCCACCATTTGTGCAATATTGTAGGAAAATAAAATTATAAATAGATTCAAAATAAACCTATTGGACTATTTTTAAGTCTTGATACTGATGATGATACTGTATGTATGAAGAATTTTTTTTAATTAGAAGGAAAATGAATTTTCAAGGTAATGACAACATTGTTTAGTAATCCTAGTCTTTTGTTTTTGAAGCTATCCCATAAATTTTGTATATACATGTACCCAGTAATTATATTTATATGACTTGCAAAGTATTCAATAATGTTATTCATGAATAAATTTAAACAATGTAAAGAAATATTATAGCATGATAGGTTAATTTGGGGCATTAAAATGCTCATCCATCCAAATATATTATCCATCTTATATTGATCCACAGTTGCTATATTAAACTTCTTAAACACTGCCAGACCATTGTCATCCAAACTTGGCAAAGAGTGTCTTGGCATGAATGATGATAATCTGCTACAGACTGCTGTTACTATTATTATAGCCAGAAATATTTACCAAATTTTACAAAACCCAAGAATCCTCGTATAAGGCAAATTAAGTTTGTATATATGATGCCAATCGCTATCCATTATGGCTGTATTGACTGAAAATGTTTCAATGCCAGAAAGCATCAACTAGTAAGATCAAAGACACAGCAGGAGTGAATCTTCATACCAGATCTGAACCTTGATATGCTTATCTGGGACACATGTTCAAGTTAGCTGTAACAGTGTTTGTTGAAAAGCAATTATTTTCTAGATTTAATATTATTTTTTTATTTCCAGTACCAAAAGAAATGTCAGTTTTTCCCTGTCATTCATATATATTTGAGTTTTATGATAGATAATGTCCGTGAAATGAGCAGTTTATGCTTTACACAAGTCAACTTTAATGTCCTTTTTCAGTGTCTCAGTATGGGTCAGTGATATAAATTACTAAGATATGGTCAGTATCAGTTTGGTTCTTCTAGTCATAGACCAGAAGAGTTTGTCTTATTTCTTAGAACAAGTTCATTATTGGTCTCCTTGGTCAGAATTTAAAATCATTTCGCTCCAAATCCCAATATTGCTGCCACATTGCCTGTTGTGTAAATCTTTTTTAATCACTACTACTTCAGAATGGATGATCATATCAACATTATGATTCTACTATAACAAGTTTTAATGATGTCTGACTGATCTAATGGTCTATATGGCCATCATGACAGCCATCTTGTGACTTCTACTTCAGACTGGGTTTTCATATCAGCATGGAGTTCCCACTTAAATGACATTTTATGACATCTAGTTATTCATACATGTAAATGGTGCTGCCTGGATATCAAAAGTGAAAATCTTGTTATTGCTATGTCTTCTAAAAGGAATGTCAATTGGATATGGATATCTGCCATGACACTGAATATGATGGCTAACTGAGCTAAATGAAAATGGAACCTGTCTGACCTCAACCATCTTGCTATCTCTACATCCAAATGGAAAGTCATATTGACATGAGAGTTTTCACTGAAAGATTTATTTGAATACAAAGGAATCAGATCTGATATATGGCTATAAATGTGACCATCTTTAAAATCTTGTTACTTCTGCATTTCTAGAATGATCAACATGTGGTTTTAACCAATAGACTTTTTATGTGATCAAATCTATCCAAATTACAAATGGGAATTGCTTCAGTGCCCTTATTGGTTAAAGTGTCTGCCTCAGATGTGGGTGCTAGTGAGTTTGAACTTGCTTGGCGCTCAGCCTTAAGAGGTTAGTGTTAGGACTGGTTGGCCTGGTGTCAGAATAATGTGACTGGGTGCGACATAATGCTTCATGTCTGTGGCATGATGCCCCAGTGCTAGACATCACTATAAACTGTCACACTGCTGACATTGTAGCACTATGACTGAAAAATTGTCAAAGCTACGTTAAAAATTCAAATCACACTCACAATCACACAAATCACACACTGATTGCAAATGGTGGGAATCTTATTTCAAATATGTCTGCCATCTTGTAAATCATATGACTACTCCAGAATGGGTTGGTATAAGGTTTTCACAGAATGTCTTAGACATTTTGGTCTTAATTGAAAACAGATCCATCCATTATGGGCACCAGATTGGCTAAATTTAGCAATAAATATCAGTTTCAACACTGATTAGTTGACAAAAAGACAATCTTGTTTTGAATTTCGCAAAATATATTTTTGGACAATAGAAATTCTGTCCCTTTAAGGAAGTCCTGTTCATTGTCATGAGAGTGTAAACATAAAAATTGTATTTATGTATTTTATGTATAAAATTTTGTGAAGTGTTTTTAAAAAAGTCATACATGTTTTTTTTGTAAATTAGAAATTCAGTGATCACTCTTTTAACCAACAATTTTGCATTAATATCAAAATATACATTCACCTTCACATCCTTTTGCCAATAACTTATTTCTTTGTTAATGGTAAAGGATAGGGAAAATTTCAAGGTCTATCCAGTAATATACAGAAGCCAATAAAACTATAAAATATATGAATGTTTTAGTAGTTCCACTAACAAATAAAACTTAGGATTTTGTTGTACATTGGGAACCTCATAGGTAGGGACTTGTGTGCTAAGTCTTTTATTAAGTTTTTGTATTAGCTCAATTTTGTTTTAAACCATGACATGTATTCATGTTTTGTAGTCTTTTTGGTTATGGCACAACAGGGCAATTTACAGCAAATTTGTTTTACATATGCTGCTAATGTTTGATAAATTTGTGAAAATTGGAATTGTCAGAGATATATAGTTTTGGTCTAAGTTGTATCTGCATAGAGCAGTCTGAGGAAATGGCATCCATCCAATACTGATAATCTGCATGGAGATTTTACTGTATTTAATGCAGTAAATAAGATGGATACATTTGGATATCACGAGTTTAGTATTGACATAATTAGGATTTTGACATCATCATGTACAACAGTTTTTAACTTTTTTTTTTGTAATAATGCACTTGTTATTTGTGCTTACCTTAAAGGTGTAAATTGGTGTAATTGATTTAATA